ACAGGGCTAGATATTCTACACCTATTTTGATACCAAAAAAAAAAATTTCTTTTTCTTCCTCCTTTAAGTCAAGACTGGCTGACTCTTACCTTTCGCCTTTCTGCTCCATGTATGCCCATCAGGGATGGTATCCTTCATCAGAAGATATTCTTTTCAAATAATCTTATACTTTTCAAAGCATATGAGAAGTTACCCTCCCTGCACATCCAAAGTTAGTGATCAGTCATAGCAGTGATAGGAGTCCATAATTCTGCTAAAAACATATTGATATGACTTTTAGTCTCCAACATAGCAGAATAAAAAGTTTAGACTAAGTTTGTCATTTCCAAGCCTTGTTCTTAAAAGCCCTAACGCTTCTGTAAAGATGCCACAGAGGCTATGGGCCTGGATGGATGAAGGGAAGGCATTCTCTGACACACACGTAGGCGTGCACACTAGCGGCTTGGCTTGTATTTAACATACTGGGTTCCAGGTAAAATTTTTTTGAAGAAACGATTCTGTTCCAGTTGCTCTAAAAACGCTTGAAAGTTGCTAGGGCAGCTATGACTTATTCTGTGAAAAATCTGCTAGTTTGTAGATAGGTGACTCAGTAAATATTAAAACCCATGAGAATTGGGACAAGATGTTATCATTTTCCTTGCTCCAGCCCAGGCCGACCCTGGGAATGGCTTTCAGTAGACTGGCTCCTGGCAATTTGGAGAGGTAGAATATTTCAGAGAACTTATTTTTGTCAATAAGTAGAGTTCTGCTGAATGGCATGCTTGGTTCATTTACTCCAAACACCCAGAAAGAGCATTGGTAAGCATTCAATCAGTATTTAGGTGATTTATTTTCCCAAGGGTATGCTGTACAAAGAGATTTCAAATGTTCTCTCATCTGCATTTTTTGTTTTTTTAATCCAAGAACAACTGTATGAGAAACTTGGAAAATATTTTTGCTTCTTGATTGTTGGCTGTACAAAATCTCCATTTTAAGAACACAACTTCTTTAGCCCAAGAAATTCAACTATAAATTTAACATAGCCCAATTTTCAAATTGGGGTTATATTGTATTTAATGGCTTAAGAAAATTAGAGTTCAGCATCACCCTCAAATCATCAGCTCAATCAACCAAGTATTTACAGGTTTTACAGTGAGAAAAGCTTTGTCTCAGCTGTCCTTAAAAAGACATAATGTTCATGTTTTGGGGTACGTTTACTCCATCAATATTGAAATAACTTCCTGGTAGAATTGTGCATTCACAAAACATAAAAGAATCAATTCCACTATTCCTGTGCAACGAGGCACAGACACAAAAACCCAAGGCTACAACTGCATTCTCTAAATTCTAACAGGGTTTACAATGATTATTCCTTGGTTAACAGATTCATTTGTTTAATGAAAGGCGATGACCCTACTGTATGTAACAAGCACTGTCTGACTCAGTGATGAACAGGCGACATGTCCCACACACAGATCACAATTTAGTGGGAAAACAAGTATTTTAAGTCTTGAATAAAAGCCACACAAGAAGGAGATTATGTGTCCTCAGTTTATGTCACTACCTTGTGACTACTTTTTGTTAGTTTTAAGCTTTTTCACTATTAACTAAACTTTAGACTTTATTTGGACATCACCGATTTTTCCCTTTCTGTTTTCTTCCCTTTCCAGGAACCAATAGGGGTCCACATTGCAGTTAGTTGTCTGACCTCCCAAATCTCCTCTCATCTGTGATGTTCTTAGTATTTTCTTACTTTTCATGACTTGACAGCCTTGAGAAGTAATGACCTAGTATCTGTCTTGTAGAATGTCACCCATATGGGTGTATGTCTGATGTTTTTCTTATGATTAGACTGGACTTACGAGTTTTGGGAAAGAAAACCACAGAGCTGATATGCTCTTCTATCACATATTACGAGTTACAAGACAATTACATGGTATCGCTAATGTTAACTTTTACCACTTGGTTAGATAGTGCTTACCAGGCTTCTCCTCTGTGAAGTTATGATAGGTTTTTATACTCTATTTTTTGAAATTAGTCACTAAGTCTAGCCCATGTTCAAATGGAGAAGGGATAAACTCTACTCCCTAGAAGGAAGAAGAATCATGCAATTCCAATCATTATTTGGAATTCTTGTCTAAAGAGTATTTGTCTCGTCTCTCCTACTTTACATTTATTTATATAAATAAAATTTGTCATTTATCTCAGTGTAGATTCATGGGTATTTTATAATTTGGGCTATAATCCAATCACCCACTACTGCATGATTTTGTTGCTCAAATCATTTCAGCTTTGGCTGTTGGGAGCTAGTTTTTATTATTTCTAAAATACCAGTAATACGGAATTTCACCTAGGTCAGTCCTTCTAACCCAACATTCTCAAACAGTAGCTTTTCCACAATGATCTCTAATACCTACCCTAACAGTCCTTTACTACTTAATGATACTGGAAATTATTCCCATTAACCTTTTTATTTCAACAGGTTTTATGGCACGCATTGCTTCTCCTCTGATACTGATGAAAGCTACAATCTATTTGAGCAAATTAGGTTGTATGTCTGTTATTAATTAACCTCTCACGCTTAGTTTTTGCTTAGATTTGCTGCACTGTAACAATCAATTTAGCAACACAAATACTTACCCAAGTCTCCTTCTTTGACACTGAAAAGCAAAGTTTAGCTAGAAGTCAAATAATCACCAAGGGTCATAAAATGAGTAAAATTCCAAGGGGGTACTTGTATGCTGATACTTCTACCACAGCACATTTGTAAACTTTTGCAAACATATTTTCAGGTAAGCCTGCACACCTGTGATATTTTGTTTATGGCCTGTTTACTTCTTTCTCCTGTCGTCACTTGCATTATTAATAGGTACCAACATTAACATTTTCCTGGTCTTTCATTATGCCAATTTCTCAGGAAACGGTGCAATTGCCAGAAAAAAAGTTATCGATTCTGCAATGATTTTCTACTCAGCCACACCCAAAATGACCATTCACAGTACCTGAAACCTTGGATTTTCTCCATTTTCATCCAAAACAGCTGCCCTCTAATACAGTAGGTCTCCAAGTACAAAGACTAAATTAAAATGTGCTTACATCATTTATTTTAAAGTAAATTAACATACAGTGTAAACATACATCAAAGATATTGTGGCAATTTAGATGAGGAATAACATGAGGTTATTTACATGTTTGTGTATGTATGTGTGTATATATATATACAAAAAGTGCAGATAAATACAGAAACACTACAAAATAAACAAAAAACTCAATATGATAATTTACCGACAATCATTTTCATTTATTAATTTGTCATGTTAATGGCTGCAAAGAAATTCCTAGTACTGAAATATAATATCTATTCAACTTTTACATAAACTATAGTACCTCAAATTTTTAACAGTATATAAATAGTATTCTGAATTAAAAAAAGTCATCTTCCCTGACAAACTCCCTATTATTTGTAAAGGTTTCAGCTCAGAGTTCAAGAAGGCTTTTGAAATCACAGCTCTCAATACGTAGTAATGTCTCGGATTTTAAGCATAAATCACATGCAGGCAGTGTGCTCTGTAAAAAAGGGTTGATTGAAGATACAGAGGCAGATACAAAGCCTGTAACTTGCTGCCACATATAGCACAGTGTACATTTTCGTCTAAGAAACTGAGCAGATTCAAGGCAAAGCTTGGTTGCTCTCACCACTGGAATGGTAAAAACCATGGGAAACACTGCTGAGAAATAGGAGATGATACAAAAGGGAAGAAAATGGTCTTCTAAGGAAGGTGATCTTGGCACCTTCAGCCCCTCCCCCCTCCCACACTTAAGTTCATCACGTAGCCGTGAACACCTTTATTGATGGAGAATATCTACGTTTGTTATAATTGTCAGTGGCCCCTGCCTCTTGGGACTCCTCAGTAAGCACGCAGACTGCATCTCTCCCTATAGCACCAAGAAGTACTCATCTCTGAACCTGGTATGTCTCTGCGTGCCAGGGAGAGAGGAGAAGACCTGCTGGGCTCCGTACCTCACACAACTGCTTCTAAACATTGGTCTAGACTATGCAGATTGGTTTTCTGCCAGTGGCTTGCTGTGAGTGCTGTCCACATTATTTGATATTCTTTATTTAGAACAGTGGATACAGCTGCCCTAAAACAAACAAACAAAAAACCGAAAAATTCTATTTATTGGTCTGATCCTCTAAAAGTCCATGTCATTCCTAAGCCTGAGTTTGTGCATCGTTACTACCAAGTAGAGCCTGCACATGTGAAGCAGGAACATATTAGTGACAATGGACAAACACAATGAATGTGTTTGGAAGATGTGAGGCTAACTGATAAAAACCTCATATTACATCTGTGGATCGACAGGAGACAGCCAGGATACAGACTATTCAGAAAGGTGAACCTCATTTGTAAAAAGTGTTTTGATTTTGGAAGGTAACCAAAAAAAAAAGTAGGAGGCAAAATTAAACAGCAATTTCTACTCTAAGTGGGAAACATTTTGTCAGCTGGAAAGTAACTTCTGGACAACTGTCAAGTCTCTGCTTTTTTCCTTTACCAGGAGAGACAATTTTGGAGTCCTACCCAGTGATTTCAGGACAGAGTAATAGCTGCAAACTACAAATGTATTGTAAAACCAAAGAACAAAATCTGTTCCTAAATTGGTCTGCCTCTTACTTCAGTTAATTAAGTATAAATCAAATTGGGATTTTTAAATGCTAATAAAAGCATCCTGAAGAAATCATTTGGAGGGCTCACTACAAATTGAAGTTGTTTGAAAAAAGGCTCTGGGGACTCTCCTACAGCAACGTCCATTGAAACAATTACCTGAGTTGGAGCTGATGGGTCCTGGAAAAACACACTGATGATATCTTTTTTCACATCAGACACAGACGTAAAGAATGAGGCTAGGAGTAAGGTTAACAGGCTGTTACCTCACAAGATTACAGTGCCAGGTTTATCTTCCTGATAACACAGTGCAAATTTAGAAGGCATGCCCCAATATGTAAAACGAAGTATCTAGAATAAGAATAAAAGTTATCATGTATCTTTTATTTTCCTACTTGGGAACCTTGATCGTTTGGGATTGTAAGGTACATTTTCTTTTTCTCCACCATCACTGAAAGAGCCAGCAATCAAGACATTGTTGAGAAACCTGGTTATTCTCATTCATATTACAAAGCACAGTGCCGACACAATTAGCAAAACCACTCACATCAAACAAAGAGAAATGGCACCTCCTCATACTTCATGAACTTTACAGGAGTACAAACATTATTTTACTGTTCAGACATACTCACATAACAAAACAGAAAAAGCCCTCAGTTGACTGACTAGTTAAGAGTTATGGCACAACAAAAGAGCCACTTGTGAAATACATACATGTTTTGAAGTTGGGGATATTTTCACAAAACACACAAGATGACTGACTTAGATTCATCAATCTCATCCTCATACTGATTATACTGCAAGCAGTGCTTAGGGTGCCTGCATCATGTTTCAAAGGTGTGAAGGTGGCAACTGTAACACAACTTCACATTGTCTCTGCAAAGCTAAGGTTTCTTTATTGATATATTGTTACAGTTTGGAATGTGATCTCTTCCAATAATTGACATTACCATCTTGTGTAATTAATATGTCATGTGATTTAGAGACAACATCTTGATTTTCTCAATGTTCATAAATACCTAATCTGCAGAAAATTTATTTCTAGGGTAAAGCATCTTTAGTCTATCTCCATCCAGTATATGACCATGACTGGCTTACACATGTAATCAGTATGGGGGAAAAAAGGACCATGCTCACACATCTATAAGGTGAAAACTTCAAACAAAAACACAAATTGAATAAGCACTTTGGTAGTTTGTTTCAAAAAGGGGACCACAGCAAGTCCTGCCATGAGAGATGCCTCACCGCAAGAAGGGAGCTGGGCTTCACACCTCCGTCCTTCACAGTGAGAGCTTCAATTCCTGACTGAGCATTGGCGCAATTAGCTTGCAGACAACTCAGAGGCAGGAACACTCTGGTCTATGTTAAAATAAAATGAAGGTTGAGATTTCTTTATGCAGCAGCAAGTGAAGTGGAATTCTGAATCTCTCTTTCTGATCTTTCAAAGAAAATCAATTTGCTGTAAGAGGCTCTAATCTAATAGGATGCCAGGTGATGTCAAGGGTGCTTAAACTGAGGGTGTTGTATAGACTAAGGGACTGGTACATCGGAAAGACAACCTTCTGTTCCAGCAGAGGGTAGGCAGGGTGTCAGCAACGCTATTATGACTGGGAAGGGCCACCAAGGATCTAGAGATCAAGAAGCTCTAGGAACACCTCATTAGAGTGTACAAAGATCAACAGCAGGAGGCAAAAATAAAAAATAAAAAAAACCCAAAAAAACACACGTTTCTCAGGTTTTTTCCATTATATTACTAATTTCTATGCCATTAAATATTTTTCATTCCAATGCACTAATATTTATTTCTGGTTGTGACTCTGCCTACTGTTATTCTCTTTACTTTTAAATTCTAATCTAGTATTCCATTTTTAATTTTAAAAGTATAAATGCTCCAAGGCATAGTTGTGTGTGTAGGTGTGAGAGTATAATCTATGAACTCTAGAAGCATTAATTTAAAGTAGAAGAGGTTGAGATTATAGATTATAATATCACATAAAGAGAGTTTTATACAGTCAATACCTGAGTGTGTGCACAGTGGAGAACTGAAGTAACAAGTAAACTATAGCCAAGTGGGCGAGCGCTGTGGCAGTTAAATGACAGGTAACCAGCTTTTGGTGATCTTGAGAAGAAAGGCTCTTTGCCACATGCAAATATTCATAAAAATCATATATTAGAATTACTGAAATAGAAATAATAAAAGTTGATGCATGACACATGTTGACAGTATATATAAATGGGGAGTAAATATCTATTTCTATGCTTTATAAATTCAGTGAAATTCCTAATAAAGACTGTATATTGAGTGGCAGTTAAGAAAAACCATGTACAAATTTTATTCCTGCTGAAGGTGAAAAAACAACTTAAAATTTTGTGGTTCAAAATAATTTAAGAATCCTGTACCTATATGTTTAGATTCTGTTTTAACTAAGTATAGACTTTTTTCTACTAGTGTCTTAAAACAACATCTTTATCATTTGTAGAGAATTTCTCATTACCTAAAATTAGGTACCAATAAAATCCTTTAACACTCTAGTGTTACAAGTAGAATTTAAGTTGTATGCCTTTATACTACACTTTTACATTGTTTTCCTCTTATTGTTATTATGCTTTTGTGATGCCACTATAACGCTACTCACAGAGGATATGTGCATATGATTTATCAGTATTTATATGTTAATGTAGTAAAATTTCTTTAAAATCCCACAGTCATAAAGGTAGTTTTACACAGCCTCTAAACCAGGGGTCAGCAAACCATGATCCACGAGCTAAATCTGGCCTACTGCCTGTTTTCATATGGTCCATCAGCCGAAAACGGCTTTTACATTTTAAAATGGATTTTAAAAGTCAAAAAAGACTATTTCGTGTCCTGTGATAATTATATAATCTTCAAATTTCAGGGTCCATAAAATTGTATTGGCTCCCAGCCACGCTCATTTGTTTATTACCTATGGCTGCTTTCTGCTCCAATGGTGGAGTTGAGTATTGGGATAGAGACTACAGGGCTTGCAAAGGCCAAAATATTTACTCTCAGGCCTTTATAGAAGTAGTTTGCTGACCCCTGCTCTAAGCCTATGGAAGGTGTGGAAGGCTGGATGGAGTGTTTACAGTGGACTCAGTGTATGACTTAATTTGGTTTCATTTACAGACATCATATACATCATTGCTTTTGAATATTATCATCTACTTGATAAACAAATAAAAATAAAGTTACATTTAAAAAAACTTATTTTCTTGAAATGTTTAGGACCAGCAAAACAATCATATATAAAAGCAGTATATTTTTAAGAAAAAATAATAAATGAACAATTTAAATTACATTTTTAAGTAATGATTTCAAGGTTCCTCAGAGAATGCCAGACAGTTAAGGGTGGACCCCAAAATCCTTACATCAGACTTCTGGTTTTCAGATTTCTGGGATATAGCACTTAATACAATATTTGAAATCCTCAATTGTTATGCAAGAGACATTGTGGAGAGTTACTTATCAAAAAAGATAGAAAGATATGTTTAAATAAGAAACCAGCCAAAACTAAAAAGAATGGCAAACAATTTAAACTCTTTTTTTTTTCTTTTCCATTAATAGAGAGCTACATAGTCTGTTGATGTAGAACTTGATAGAAATTGTTTTCATTTAGTGGGCTGATCCCTATATCTGTGTCAGATAAAATCATAGCACTTATTATTTGTTTCCATGGATACCATGAAGATACTGCCATCCACTAAACAGTATTAGAGGAAGACAACATAATTTTCTGGAACTAGTCCTGTTTTGCCTTCATAAGTTGCCTTCAACCATCCTGGTTCCACTGATGGGTACACTGGCAAAAAAATTTAAAAAATTAATAAATTAATGTCACTCAATCAACATTAGCTTCAAATAATTATGTACAAAAATGGGCAAATGCATCCACTCAACTGTCAAAACAATGCCATAGCACCTCTAAAGCTGGAAATGCCCTTTGCATTCACATAATCTCTCTGTCTCTCTTTCTCTTTCTCTCTCTCTCTCTCTCTTTCACTCACTCGCAGGGGAGGAAACTGGTGTCCACTGGAATTTGTTGTGTTCATCTATGCAGGTTATGAGAGGCAGGACCTGGACTAGATTCTGAGTCTCCTGGCTTCCACTTTAGACTCTTATTCCTACACTACTCCTTCATCATCCCCATAATGCTAATAAACTTAAGCAAAAGGAATGGGTGCACTTACCATTAGAAAATATCGCCCCCTGTGGGAAGGAGAGCTCGTGGCTGTGCTCAGCTTTGCAGGAGTACATGGCTTTGGCTTGGCTGAAAAGAGCAAAAGACAATTTGTAAAACAACAAACTCGCATTGAGTACATTTATACTTCAAACTACTCTTAAAAAATGATATTACTTTGGTTGTAATTGGAATATCATATATACAACATGCACATGTAAGTGTACATAAGTGCATTTTCCACAAACTGAACACACATGTATAGCTGGAGAGCACTGACAGACAGCAAACCAAACGTTTCCAGGCAGTGCCTCCAAGGGAAACCTTCTGGCTTATGACAAACAGCATAAGTTGGTTTTTAAGAATGTTATTGTTTAATTGTTGGTAAATAGGCTGTTTTTGCAGCTATACAGACATTCATAGGTGCCCTAAAGCTTTTTTTTTTTCCACTTCCATTTCAGAGTACCAGAGGTGAGATCCCAAAATTAAAAGGTCCACAAGTATAGTAAACAAGTTAAGTGGGCATGATGAATAAATTGATGATAAATGGCAACCAACAATAGCCTCACTGTCAGGGAGATAGATGGTGGGCACAGATGGAGGCTTTGCAAACCAGCGAGTAGACACATCTGTTCAAGAGCAAAGCTAGCGCTCAGCTCCCAACATCTGTAACATATGGGAATTCAGGCTCCATATAATCAGATACTCTGGTTTTTTAAGAGAAGACAGAATTTCAGAGTTTTATATGAGATGTACTTAAAAACATTTGACCCACCACTAAAAAGCCATCGCCTGAGACTGCTAATCAAGTTGTCAGGAAATCGCCTTTATTCTGCAACATCGTCACTTTGGCGAGGCTGCGCAACTCCTCCTGACTCCACCTGCTTCTCGTCATCTCTACTACAGCCAGAGCCCAAGCCAAAATCATTTATGGTGATTATCATCCAGTGGCTTCCTAGCTTCCTAAATCCTCTAGGTTTCCTATTTAGTCGCCTGCAATCCATTCTTTACAGAGCAGCCAGAGGACAGTTTCAAAAAGGTTCTGATGATCACATTATTTCCCTGGTTCAACCGGTTTCCAACTCTGGCTCCATACCATATACAATCAGGTGCTTGTCAGTGTCTCTAGCTTGTCTGTATCTGCCTCTGCGGACCTACTGTACTCCAGTCCCGCTGGCCCCCTTTTCTTCTCCTCACACACGCCAAACTCATTCCCACCTCAGGTCCATCTGTGCTTTCCTCTTGAACATTACATGGCTATGCACTTCTAGTTCATGTTAAATTCCCTGAGCTTTGTTGAAGGCCAGGTCTTCCCTGACACGCACTCGAAAACAGCTGCCTAGGCAACTATCATATGGTCCTAAGCACAAATTGGTAGTTACAAAATAGTCACAGAGATGTAAAGTACAGTAAAGGGAATATAGTCAATAATATTGTAATAACTATATATAGTGCCAGGTGGGTATTAGACTTATCAAGAGCATCACTTCTTAAATTATATAAATGTCTAATCACTACACAGTTCACCTGAAACTAATATAAAATAATATCAAATGTCAAATATAATTGAAAAAGAAAACATAGATACTAAACTTATGGACCCTGGTCTTAGGGAGGATTTTATAAGTTTGACCTCAATGGCAAGAGAAGTAAAAGTGAAGAATGGGATTGTATCAAATTAAAAAGCTTCTGCACAACAAAAGATACCATCAACAAAACAACCAAACAAACAGGAGTACATATATGCAAACAACACCTCCCATAAGGGGTTAATATCCAAAATACATAAAGAACTCATATAACTCAAATACCCCCAAAAAACAATCCATTTAAAAACTGGGCAGAGGAAGTGAACAGACACTTCCCCCAAGGATACAAATGGCCACCAGATATAAGAAAAGATACTCAACTTCACAAGCTATTGAGGAAATGCAAATCAAAACCACAATGAGATGCCACTTCACACCTGTCAGAATGGCTATTATCAACAAGACAAGTAACAACAAGTGTTGGAGAGGTTGTGGAGAAAAAGGAACCCTCATAAACTGCTGGTGGGAATGTAAAGTGATACAGCCAGCATATGACCCAGGAATCCCTCTTCTGGGTATCTACCTAAAAAATCTGAAAACATTTATCCGTAAAGATATATCTATCCCTATGTTAATTTCAGCATTATTCACGGTGGCCAAGACATAGAAACAATCAATGTGTCCTTTAATAGATGACTGGATAAAAATGTGGTATATACATATAATGGAATATTACTCAGCAAAAAGAAAAGATGAAATACTGCCATTTGCGACAACATAGATGGATCTTGAGATTATCATTCTAAGTCAAATAAGTCAGACAGAAAAAGTCGAGAACTATATGATTTCACTCATGTGAATTATGTGAATTATAAAACTGAAAGCAACAAATGAACAACACAAACAAACAAACAAAAACTCATAGATACAGACAGCAGTTCAGTGGTTAACAGAGGGTAAGTGGGGAGGGGTGATGGTAGAAGAGGGTAAAGGGGGTCAAATATATGGTGACGGGAGGAGAACTGACTGAGCAGTAAACACACAATGCAATATATAGATGATGTATTACAGAATTGTACACTTGAAACCTATATCATTTTATTAACCAATGTTACCCCAATAAATTTAATAAAAATAAAGATGTCAAACGTTAATAATTTAAAATCTTGCACTTAAAGTTTGTGAAGATGTAGGAAAATGGTTGCTTTATATAATAATATCAAGAATGTAATATTATTTGCCAATTAAAAAAATTTAAGGCAGCTGTCTTTCCTCCCTTTGATGCCAGTACTTATTCCACAAAGCATTAACAGTGGTTGCTATTTGCAGCTCCCTTAAAGCAGCAGTGTTACATTATTGCATTTACCTGTTGGAGCTAGAACCTAGGTCTTCTTATCACTACGCTTCCCGAATAAAGCTAGGCCATTTTATTTTATTTTGAAGATTTTATTGGGGAGTTGGGGAAGGGGCACAGTGTTGGGGAATTGGAAAACGTGATCAGCCAAATTGTTGTTCTTCAATGTTGGTTGCGGAGGGCGCCAGTTGCCATCTGGTTGCCTGTGGGCAGCTTGTGGCCTCTAAGCTCAAGGTGCTGTGTTCAATCTTAATTGCGGGTGGGCCTGGCCACCATCCCATGCAGGAATCGAACCAGCAGCCTTGTTGTTAAGAGCGCATGCTCTATCCACTGAGCCATCCGGGCGGCAGCTCAGCTCAAGGTGCCTAATTCTGTCTTACTTGCGGGTGGGCTTAGCCCACCATTGAACAGGCAATCTTGTTGTTACACCAGCTGAGCCATCCTGCTACCTGTTCGCAGCTCAGCGACAACTCAGCTTGGGCGCAGCGTCATTGGCCCTGTTGCTCAGAGCTTGCGCTCTTAAGCCAACTCAACCAACTAAGCCACTCGGCCAGCCCAAAGCTAGGTCATTTAAACCAGGGTTCTCAAATGCCTATCTGAAGATTAGAAAGTTTATAGAGGAAAACTCTGGCCCTGCCCCCAGAATCTGCTTTTGAGTCTCAGGCTGTACCTTCAGAAAGTTTGCTAGGGGATCCTGCAGCAGTCAGGTTTAGGAATGACCACTAACTCACTTTCCAATGAAATATTGTTTAAGGAAACACTGAAGAAATTGAGGCACCCAGAGATGCACAGGGAATTTACACCAAAGGAGAGGGGGAGGGAGTGGAGGAAGAGGGGAGAGCAAGAGAGGACCTACACGCATGCACGTGTGCATGCACATGGCTGTGTTGGTTAATATGGGTGGGCGGGATGCTACCAAGTTCTAAAGACTTCTAAGAATCAGGTGATGGTAATCTTAAGTAGAAAAAAATAAGTTTTTCTTATAAATCTTCTAGTTAAATATAATCATTTGATCCAATATCAGATGTAACTGAGGGCTGCAGAGCCATTTCTCCGAAAATATGTAAAGGCTTTCTGAAAAAATTCAAATTTTCTAACAGCAGCAATTTCCCCCAATAAACACCTGTCTTGTTGCTTTGAGTACTTAAATTAAAAGATGCATGAGGAAACAATTTCCAGAGTTACAGAAATGATTAAGATACAATAATCTTTGCAATGATATAATTTTGGAAACTGCACTTTAAAAAGCAAATTAAACTATCTTTATTAGTATTTAGCCATGAAAATTCTCTTTATAGTTTTTTTTATAAGATTAGATGGTAAGGAAGCATGCCGAATAATTATACCACTAAATAAATGGGTATTGTTAAATGTGTCAAAAATACATGGCACAAAAAAAATATGTCATGACTTTTCAATTATCTGTGCATGTGTCTAGACAGGTATAATTTTCTTCTGCTGAGCTCTGTAACTACAGGTGTTAACTCAGCAGATAGCTTTGATAATTTAATGTAGACTTCTGTGACAGTGAAGTTTTCTCTCCAGGTGCTAATGCTTCCTTTTTTACTGCCTTGATGTATTGAACAAGATGTGAAAATAACACTGTCACCTATTGAGTTTCTCTTCAAAAGATTCTAATATCCTTTGAAAAGGATTTAGAAAATCCTGCTTCTTACTGCATGTGAGAGTAAGGTAATGACATTCGCCATCCGGAAAGCCATTTCTTCCCTTATCAGCTGGAAGATGATGTGATCACAAGCCCCATTCCTAATTCTAAATGCTGCCTAATGCTGATGGCTAGACTTTCAAAAGTTTGATAGGGTCAAACCTGAATATGAAATTTGCAAATTTCACAATGCTTACTTTAATCATAAGCAAAATAAAGAATTCGCCAATTGAAATTGATTCAATGTTTTCTGGAGGGCCACCTAACAATGATAAACACACACAATCTCTTATACTTCCTTATACTTATACTTCTGAGAGGAGCATAAATGCACACAGATAATATATTTTGAGATTCCAAAGAAGTAACATATGTCTTAGAGGTTAAAACCACGTTCTCCTCTAATGCTCTCCTTGACATTTTTGCAGCTTCTACTAAGTTGACTATACCTCCACCTCCTGATCATTCCTTCACATTCTTCTCTTCCAGACCCTTAAATGAAACCATTCCCCAAAGACCAATCACGGCTCAGCCATTTTTCATTTTTACTCAATAAGCCCCACCTTCATCTAGGGAGAGTAACTGCTGTGTAGATAGAAGTCTCTCAAGTGGCATCCAGTTCCATGCTCTCTTCTGATTCCAGCTCACATTTCTAACTGCCTCTCAGTGTTCCTCAGACTCCTCAAAGGTTATGGCCAAAATTGTCCTTTCCCCCATGTACTCATACAAGCTGAGATCAGAAGCTAAACTGCCATTCCTTCTGACACTCAATCTGAAAGACTTGAAATCTTTCTTATCTGTCTTTCACTCCAGTATCGAAGCAGTTGCTCCATCCTGACCCTATCCATAAAAGTCTCCTTATTGCTTGTCATGCTTTTGTTACAACCCTAATTAAGGCCTTTTAAATCTCACCAATTCCATGCTAACGGTTGAGGTTCCCTGCCCTTCACAACCTCCTAAGAAAGCCGCTTAGAATGTTTTATTCAGACGCATCACTGATCAGATCACCCTTTTGCTCAGTGGCTCCCAGAGCCTGCAGGGACTCCCAGGGATGTTGCCTTTCTATTGCCCAAGGCTCTCCACTAACATCTCCCAGTTGGTCTCTTCCACAAACAGCTGGTCTTCCTACTCCCCAATACTGATTCTATCATTTTCAAGGTCTGATTCAAGGGTAACCCTGAGTTCCCTAGGAGCATGAAATAAAGCACTGTAGGAGATTAGTAAGGGAGATAGTCTCAACTTCTATCTGTTGTACAGCTGTATTTAGTGGTACCAAGAAGTATTAATTAAAGAGGTCATGTTTATCATTAATACATTAATTAGAGGCTTGAATGTTTTAGCCAGCAGTTTCAGTAAAAACTATCATAACAATAATAGTTGTTATTATAAAGAGCATCTATGGAAGACTTAACAAATACACTGCTATTTGAAATTTACAACAATTTGGCAAAAACAGAATCATGACCTTTATTTTACAGATAAAGAGAATAGATTTCTTAAATATGTAGCTCCAAGGTTATACAACTAGGAAGTGGTGGACCAAGAATTTGAACAGGAGGGCCACTGTGTTCCCCATCTCTTGGTGAAAAGTTACAACACAATCCACAGTGCTGGGCACTCGTTGACAGAGAAAGACTATAATTTTCAATGTACCACTGAGTGAGCTCTAAGCTTATGCTACCAGCCATTAGAAGTTGATTTAGAGTCGTATTTAAACTGCAAAAGCATATTTAATATGAATAGGTTGATTGGTGAACATCTGAGTGTATCTTTACGATATGACCCCATTCTGATGTGCTTCATTAATAGCTTGCTTTCTTAAAGCTCTGTGGGATTATCTCTTTGATTATAGTACTTGAGTTCTTAACAGACTATTTAGAGCTTCCTAATAATACGGCTCCATCTAGTGGAGCAATTCAACCATATAAGTGGATAAAATTAAATCCCTTACAGTAATGCCTAAAATTGATGACACTTTCAGAGATGTGATGTTTGCTCTGATATGCATGGTGCCGAGTTTTCACCATGCCTTGATAAAAAAGGAAGAAGGTAAAGATATTATACACAAAGGGAAGATACATGCCAGTACTCTGGGACCCACTACATAAATGCAATGCACTGACCAACATCCTAGAAAAATACCAACAAGACTACTCTGTGGAGTTAAAACCATTAATACAAGAGGGTCTTTCTAGGCTTTGGGGAAAAAAACAAACAAACCAGAGTTTGAAGGTCATTGTTATCCCTAGTAACTCAAACAAGTCCGATATTGTGTAGGTGCTTAATAAACGCTTGCTGATGAGGGGAAAAAAACAAACAAAAAAAATGACCCAAAATTCAAAGACTGTATTTAAAAACCTAGAAATAAAAACAAATCATGAACATGTTAAAAAAAAATCCAAATGCTGGTATTGTCCAGAAAAATGCAACAGGTTTATTTATAATCGTTATAAAGTTGAACTGCTGAAACTTGTTCACTGAAACATAAAATAAAATAAATAAATAAATAAATAAACGCTTGCTGAAAAAGTCCACATACTTTCATAAGGTTGAAACAAATTCTATGGTTGAATAACTTTTAAAACAACTACACAGCAATACTTCCATTATCTGTAATTCCTTTACTTCACAGACTCAATTATCCAGACATGGGAAGCTCAAAACAGCCTTGGTATATCCAAAGGAAAAATCAGGGTTTGTTCTTCCAGTGCTCTCAATTATATCTTTCAATAACAAACATTAATTGAATGCCTCCTACCTGTACTAGTTGCTGATGGTAAAAATATATATCAGAAATATCAAAATACTAAGAAATTCCATTATTTTTGCCATACTTGTATTCAAATTAAAAACTGAAGCCCACTGTCGATGAGCAGAATCAATTTAGACCATGGAAAGAGGAAAGCAGTAGCCTTAGAGCAAGCACATTAATTGCAGCAAGATGTAACAACTCATGTCCTTCTAACAATGGAGCGGAAATAAAATCTGGAAACCCTGAATGAAGTATTACATTAAAACAAACAAACAAACAAACAAACAAACAAACAAACAAACAAACAAAACAAAAAAAAAACAGCGCTGCCTGGATCAACCAGCTCTATAGCACCACAGTGGCTATTAAGAATAAGCCTATTTTCATTTCTCTAAAAAGGACATACAGATGGCCAACAGACATATGAAAAAACATTCAACCTCACTCATCATTAGGAAATGCAAATAAAAACCACAATGAGATACCACTTCACTCCGGTCAGAATGGCTATCATCAATAAATCAACAAACAACAAATGCTGGCGAGGCTGTGGAGAAAACGGAACCCTGGTGCACTGTTGGTGGGACGCAGATTGGTGCAGAAATTATGGAAATCAGTATGGAGGTATCTCAAAAAAACTGGAAATGGAACTACCGTATGACCCAGCAATTCCACTCTTGGGTATCTATCCAGAGAAATGCAAGACGCTAATTCGAAAAAAATATATGTACCCCTATGTTTATTGCAGCGCTATTCACAATAGCGAAGACTTGGAAACAACCGAAATGCCCATTGGTACATGACTGGATTAAGAAACTGTGGTACATTTATACAATGGAGTATTACTCTGCTATAAAGAAGAATGAAATTGTAACATTTGGGACGATATGGATGGACTTAGAGACTATTAAGTGAAATAAGTCAGTCGGAGAAAGACAAATACCATATGATTTCACTTATATGTGGAATCTAAAAAACTGAATGAACGAGCAAAGTAAACAGAAATGGTCTCAGAGATACGGAGGAACAACTGATGGCTGCTAGTTGGAAGGGGGTGGGGATGATGGAGAAGGGGAAGGGGTTAGACAGCATAAATATGTAACTACAATATTGCCACAGGGACATGAAAGACAGTTCGAGGAATATAATTAATAATGTTGTAAATATTTTGTAGGGTGTCAGGTGGTCACATGTCTTGTTAGGGAGACCGCATCATGGAGGGGGTAGAGGCTTGATCACTGCACTGTACATCTGAAGCTGATGTTGTATAATATTGTATGTCAAGTATAAGTGAATATATATATAGTCATGGGACATGGAGTATAGTGAGGGAGTGGAGTCAAGGGAATTGTAATAGATATGTATGATAGTAGGGGGGAAGTGAGGCGGCAGATTGGGGGCGGGGGGTTGTCACCTTGAGGAGTAAAAAGTATAACTATTGCACTGTGCTGTACAGCTGAAACTAATTCTAAAAAAATGTGTATTTCACAATAAAAATAATTTTTAAAAAAAGAATAAGCCTATTTTTCAATGCATAGACATACATCTTTTTCCAGAAATATTTCTGTAACTTTTAAAAGTCAAGAATATATTTTTGAAAAATTTCCACAAACTGTCATCAAAGTAGTGTTTGGTGTACAAAGGGCTATGGCAACTTGCGTCTTTTAGAAAAATCTGTTTAGAACCCTTTCTTTATGAAGATTTTAGCAAATGAAGCATCACTGTAACAGAGACTGTTTGCAGACATGATCTTTTCCTGTGAAGAGATAGTGGACATGGATTTGACCATCTGCAAAACTGAAGACAGAGCTATCAAAGATGACCTGACATGCCATCACAAGGCAACAATGTTATCACTGTTTTATTTTTTACTTTGCTTTGAGAACTTACCGCCCAGAAGAAACTGGCTTAAGTGAACCAACATTTTCAAACAGTTGGGCTTTTGCTGCCACACTGAAAAATAATTTTAAAATGCAAATTTAATTAACTCAATTAGAAAATCATTCAGCTCAAACTGAAATTCGGAGTTATCAGTTAACCAAAACAAATAATGATTAAAATTTTTTCTGAAAATTTGACATGAATTTTCATTGTTTTAAGATTTAACGTAGAATAAAATTTTAGCACTGGTCTCCAACTCATGGAGTATCAGACTGTAATAAACCCATAGCTACCTCCTCTGGAGAATCTTACTATCCTCATTTTTTCTGCCTCAGAAAACCATGGGAGCAGTAAAAAGGAACATTTTCTCCCGACTCTGCTCCTGGTAGCAATATTATTGACTCCTGTGGAGCCACAAGAGAAAAATCAAGTCAACATGAGAAAAGAATTATTGGTCATTCTGATAGCTGAGACAAAACTAACTCTAAAATAGTTTATTTGTAAATATTTGAACACAGATCCTGTTTAGTAGAAAGAGATAATTCTGAAACTATGGCCAATAAATGAATTTGTTGATTCAAATTTTGTTTCAAATCATGACTGGAAGGGCATGGTCTATGAAGAGGTGAGACTATTAGGTAGAAAGTGAAAAGGAAGTAAAACTAAGGTACCCTGACTAGGTAATTAGAAAAGTTTCTGTATTTAACAGAAGAGAGCTCAAATTCCTTGAATGGTATTCTAAACTCAATTTTAAAAACTCATCTTATTTCTTTCACAAAGTCCCATAGCCAAGCCATTTGGTAATCTCAAGGATCATTTTACACCTAATACAGAACATACGCTCTCTCTCATTTTAATTTCTTCTTTAACTATCAGTACAATCACAAAACAGAAGCTCTTCTCTTTCCTTTACAAAGGATGGAGTTTATATTCTCCCATCTGCCAGGACATAGTGCCTTAAAATTTAATTTTCCTTACTGGCTAGAACTACATACTGGAGAGTGGACAGATTTATAAATATATTTGTCTGTATCAAGGTAGCTGGATTCTGACCAAGAGAGATAACGTATGTTAAACACACTATGAAACCAAAGCTTTTAATCAAAGAAAGGGAGGAGCAAATTAATTTAAGACACTGTTTCTATGGAAGCAAGCTTAGTAAAATGTCTTAATGGACTTTTGAGGAATAATTTAAATGTCAGAAATACCACCATATTAAAAATGGGCACAGTATTATAGAGAGGGCACAGATTCAAGTCAGAGAACCCTGGGGTAGAATCCCAGCTCTGCCATTTCCTGGCTGAGTGTATGTGGACTGGTTCCTGAAACTTTGTCTTTTAAAATTTTATTATTTTTTTTAATTGAATAACTTTGACATGTAACATTGTATAATCTTGTCACATGTAACACTGTCTAATCCTCAAACTTTCTAGGTATCGTTTCTCATCATCTCTAAAATAAGGTTTATACTACCTACTACACAAGGACACCAGACCTTAGAAGAGATCACTTATGTAAAAATGCCCTGTTAATAGCTAATATAGCACTTGGAAATGCTCAGTGAAAGTCAATAAAATAAACTAAAAGGGAGAGAAACTTTTCCTCTTCGGTTATTGCTTACCTGTTGATCAAGGTTCCCATTTCCCCCGCCTTGCCCCCCTTTCTGGTCATGTCTATGTACTCTATACCCTATCAGACTTTATACTTCTGGGTCATTTCTTCTGATGTAGAAGTGCTCCCTTTGGCCTATCATGTTCCTTGTCCTCTAGGAGCCTGTTTAAATCTGTGAGCAGTCAGGTAGGGGAACATATGATGAGGAGAGAAAGCCAAACTTCACAAGCTAGAGAGCAATTATATTTCTAACAGAGAGATGGGGGTGGGGGGTGGGGGCTGAGATCTGGGCTGGGCACACCTGTCTCCTCAGCTAAGAAGTCCATGTTTAGCTTCATTGGAAAGCTTCTAGTTTCAAAGCCCGTGTTACACAGCTATTTTCACGTCCTTAAATTAAGCCAGAGCTCTGCTTCTAAGGAAAGCGCTCAAAGTGCCTCCCCATGAGATTATTTATATATATCGTAAGCCTACTGTAACTTTTACATCACTTTTAGAAGTCCTATAGAAGTTGACTGTACCCGCTCTACAGATGAGACATTCAGCTGCGGGAGTCCCTTGGATAGCTGAACCCCTACGTATCCCCTGGGAGACGCGGCAAACACAATCTCTCTCTCTCACTTACATGGAGCCGGGTCGCTGGTAGCCATTGCTTGAGGCAGTGTCTAGCCTCAACCTCCTGCACATTTTTGGAGGCAGGTCTGGGTTTGGTGGGGCTTTAGGTGTCTCTTTGGAACCTATGGAAGTTAAGCTTTGAATGGAACCACTGTAGCTCTTGTTTCCTAGAAAGAAAGCCCAAGAAAACAGGCAAGGAGCAATTAGACAAAATAACAGCAATAACACAGTGCACGTGCATAACAAAAGCAAGCATTCTTCGCTGAGCCCAAATGAGAAGGTACAGAATGTGCTTTGAGCACAGCAGCCCATCACTCAGGGAGATCAGAATCTACAGCAATTGCAAAGACATCACCTCACAGAGACGGAAGGAGCCAGGGGAACATGTCACAGCGCACAAGCGTTTGAAAAATCCTAGCTCAGGAACAAAGTAGATAAGCATCGTTAGTCCCTTCACCATTAACTTTCCCCCTGCTTAATCATGCTGAATAATTCGGCAAGTGACATGGAGATAGGGACAGCTTGCATAAGGCTCCACTCTGGCTTACCTTCAGCTGCAGAGATGGATCTGAGAAAGGTCGCTGAGGCTCTTTTTAGTCCTGACAGCCCATGAGGCCCTTTCTTGGTCAGGTCTATGGGTGGGGAAATGTCCCCCGGACTAGTAACTGAGGCGATGCTCTGGCAATCTGATTCTGCATCCGTTTTGGTTGCATCTTCTCTAGAACTGGATTCAGGACTAGTTGTCCAGAGACCAAGGCTTTTCTGTCCATTGGAAGGTGATGGGGATGCGATCCAAGGAATCCCTCCAGATTTCTCCCTGGGCTGGCAGGGAGCCGACTTTGTAGTGCTGTTTTGTTCAGAGGAGTGAGAGGAGAGTGACTCGATGCTCCCCATGGGTGTGCTGACTGGGCTGCTGCTATAGGAGTCACCTGAGCAGGAGTGGAAGGGAGAACAGAAAAGTGGCTCTGTGTTGGGAAGAGCACTACCAGAACCCGTCCGCTCTCCAACTCACACATACCTGTGGCCACCTGACCCCACTGGAGTCATGGGCCGTTACTTGGTATGGAGAACTGTCCTCAGCACTGGAGAAAGGCTTTCACATATGCATTTGAACTTGGTGAATGCATTTTTCAATACTATTCAAGGGAGACTTTTTATATGTGCCCTGACCCTATGAAATAATGTTACTGCTGAAGCATAAGTAGGCTGACTGAATGCAGACAAAATTTGCTTCTAAAACAGGCCTCACAAGTACAAGAACTGAGTCCATGCTGGTATCACAAAACAAAACAAAACAAAACAAAACAAATCAGTGAAAGGGGGACATATTAAAGACATATTTCTGCCTTTTCTTACTTTTCAGATCTCAGGTGATTCTGAGTTACAATCCGAGTTCTCCTTCACTCAAAGGCACCATATAATGTCAGCTGCAAGTTATAAGCTGCTCACAATTTTTAAAAACAGGACTTTTTCCTTTTCTGGCTAAGAATATATTATAGCATCCAAGAATACAGCTAAAAAACTGGCTATTGAACTGGGTGTATTTTTTAATGTTCCCAAAAGTGTAAGAAAAAAATCAGAGAAACTGTAATAAAGTGTTCAAATGTATCTAAATTAAAAACTAGTGTTTTCTATTAAATATTGATTGTGAAAAAAATTGGGGGGACTTAGGGGCATGAAATAAAATGAAAATGGCCACAGTTTAGCACATGATATGGGCCCAAGCTGCCACCCACCTCATCTTGGGGCTTGGATGAGAATAGCAAGTTAGTGATAATGCGTGGTACAGTTTCTCTTTTTATTTCTTTTCTCTCTCTCTTTGAGACACTTTGATACCCAAGAGATGATGCTGTAAGAACATAATGTGAAAGGAAGAAAGAAAATGACTGCTTCAGCCAGACTTTCTCTTGCTTTCTTCTCTACCGCTTTGACAATAGGACAAAACCTGCTGCAAAGTAGCACCTGATGTACTTAATCACAGTTACAGGAGGGGAAAGAAAAAGCACTGAGCAAACTAATTTTTCCCTTTGTAGCAGTAATGAATTTGCTTGTTCAAGGTACCTTGCAACTGCTGACAGAGAACATGTAAATGTTAGAGGTGGGGGAGGTAGTGGGGAGATAGCATCAGGAAAAACATCTTCTATTTCTACCTAATTAGAAGTAGGTAGGCTGAATTAAAGAAGGCAGAGAGCATCTCCCAAAGGCCAGCACACTTACTATCGGGTTCTGCCAAGCACGGAGTATACCTCCCCCTGGGCTTCCGGGAGCCTGTAGAGAGGCAGATTGCGCGCGTCCTTCGGGATCCAGATCGAGACTGAGGCTGAGGAAGAGGAATGCTTGGGTCTGGGGCAGTATGAAAAATCTACACGGAAGAACAATGGGCCGAGGTCAACGAAAAGGTGCAATTGCCATTTTCATCACAGAAGCAGCTTGGCGAGTTATTAAATAATCTTAGCACTGTAATGGTACTTAATCAGTTATATGGCAAGATAAGCTAGATACAAAAAATAAAATCCTAGAGCAATTATAACTTTTTTTTCCCCTTTTACACTGAGAAATGTGTCTTGGCTAGCTTTTCTTTTTGATGCTCCCCCAATCCCCAACAAGGAAATCCAGAAGATTTCCCAATAATTTTAAGAAATCTTTTAAATATGAACAAATATCTATGCCAAGAGACATGCATTCTTTTTATTGTGATATTCTCATCCCCCTTTATGCTGAACATAGCCTTTGGGGAAGAAGTTCATTCTGTATTATGGCCCCCACCGATCGGCCCTTTGTTTCTTAGGAGAAGGTGCTGCTATGCTATTGGCTCTGAGCTGTCAAGAAATGTGACAAGCTGTAGGTAGAGGTCTGAGCACAGCTACAGGATACAGCCATGCACTCTTGCGTTGTGAGGGTGCTTGCAACCTTAGACAGGCACTAAGGTCATTCTTCACAGGCACTAGGAAGGAGCCTGAGAAAGGGAGAGGCACAGTCATTCTTTCACCGGGCTAGATCAGAAAGACATAAATGCATCACAAATGTTTAGATTTTTCAGTGGTCAAATTTGCTTAACAACCCAATCAGTTTGGCTTTCCCAATTTCCAATTTCCATAGCTATGCTAACATCTCACTCTTTTAAAGAAACCCTCCTCAGGGATTGGATATAGAGAAAACTACTTCAACACTCTATTCCTTGAACTTTTTCTACTGTTTTATTTAGAATATCACCTATGCTGAATAATTAAGAGTCTATTTCCAAAGAGATTAAAAGGTTAAAATAGACTTTACTACAAAGTGATTCTAAAGTATTCTCTGAATATGAGCAAAAACCTGACAATATAAATAAGCTAAAGAAGGAAATCTTGAAAAGTAAATGATGTATACAGAAAGGAAATCAACTACCTGGAACATTTTGAGGAGCACTTACAAACCGAACAAGAAAAAAGGAAATCAAAGTTCTCGTGAAGTAATCGATACAAAATTTACAAGACTGACACTTTATAGGAATCCGAATTCATGATGTGAGATGCACAGATGATATAAATGCAAAACCAAGATGATAAAAATGTAAGATACACAATTTGATACTTCTATATGAAAATTCAGCCTACCTTTTCATAGTGCTCTATCAGAATTTCAACCACAATATTCTGAAATTTAATATTCATCATAGCAGCCACAGTTTCTTCCTGTGCTCTCATTAGAGTTGGGCCAAATATGACACCAAGGTTTGACACAGTCATGAGATTTTGTTGGCTATGTAGTGATACTCTGCAAATAATAGCAACAAAAATATCTTAAGTTAAATGTTTAATAATTATAACATATTCTTATCTACTAAATTTGTGACATTAAAAAATGTAAAATATTCCATTATAGGCTATTTTTTCCAAATCGTCAGGTTCAGTCACTCCCAGCTGGCATTAGTGAGTCTAGCCTAAAATGATATAAAAGCTTAACATAGCCCAAGTAAAACATAATTACAAAGGTTAATATATTGAAAGAAAAAAATATTGATTTCCTAACACGAATACAATCACCCTAGAGAGATTATCAGTTGTTTGGTATTTTCTACAGTACTATACTTCTTTTAGAACAGATAGTTGAGAGTAGACTGGTTGTAATTGTATTAGGATTCACCAAACATATTATGAAAATCTACTCCCGGGCATTTTCATAGTTATTATTGCATTTAACCCCAGGAAATCAGTTTTTCCTATTGTACAGGTAAAAAACCCCTGAAGCTCCTTAAGTAAAAATGATGTACTTAAGGTCACAACAAACCAGGGACAGAGATGCTATTTCAATTCAGATCTCCTGAATGAAAGTCAAAGGTTTCCTTGAGCTCCCCACACAAGTCAACTGGCCAAAAATCTTCCCTCCCTTCTTCCATGTATCCAAAACTTCTCTGAGTGGCTCCCTAGGGCTGGGCAATGGGCGAGGCAAACAGTAAGATGAGATGTGAGGGCATCAGTGTTGGCTTGATAATGGAAATGAATCAAAAAGCCTCTGATATTATTGACCTTAGCAAAGTAATCTTAGGAACTATAAAAATGACCTTGACTAATTAACTAACTTGGAAACTGGATATATTCTTAAGAGGAAACCACATTCATTGGACCAGTCTCCTAGGTTAACCACTGCCTTTTCTGTTTTACTCCCAGCCAGGCAAAGTTCTAGGAAGAGCACAACACAAGATTATGTTTATATCTGAGTATGCATCACTAACTACATTCCAAAACCAAAGATAAAATTTTATGGGGAATCCGGGATTTGGGGTTACCCATGCAACTCCTAGTGTAGGACAGGATGTGTCGACTGTGCCATTGACTGATATTTTCCCTGTGCCCAAGAGAGCACTATCAAAGAAGGCACTTGGGTAGAGCAAAAAAAGTTTCAACTTTCCTTCTAATTAAATATTATATTGATTGCTTAATATGTATTAGAGAATGTACTAAGGAAGTGGTATGTAAAGGAAGTAAGCCTGTCTGGATTCAAAGCTTGGATCCATTCAGCTTGGAAGTGGGGTGTAGTCAACCAAGTTATTTAATATCCTTAGGCTTGAATTTCCTCATCTATAAAGTATAAAACTAACAACCCTTATAGGATTGAGGAAATTAAATAATGAGTTAAATTAAGTGAAATATGATCTCAAAATAATATTGTTCTTGTAATTAAATTGGCTTCAGGCACTCTTGCTAAAATGTAAGAGTTCCTGGTAATATAAGTAAACTGGAGTATGTTTACTATTAAGCTCATTAGGAGTAAATTTGGAAAACCCTAAAAATTGGCCTGTTTTGAAGAGGAGACTTGATTACTATTTTGCTCAGAAGATGGAATATTTTGCTGACCCATTTACTCTTCATAGACTTTCCCTTGTGCTGTGCTACTGAGTCGATACAAACCACTGTCACCCATATTTCAGCATCTCTGCACGTGTCCCTCAACTCCTATAGGGAACATAAATCCAGTTGCATTTTTTAATATTTAGAGTCAAAGAAGAGACCACAGATGGCCTTGTTTTAAAGAAAAAGAAAAGGATTCTCAAAAAGGAAGCAATGATTTATACCATGACTCAGAGCTAATTAATGGAGATTTGCAATTGGTCATTTAGTCATTGGCCTTTATACCAGTGACCAATCCAAGTCACTCGTCTTACATTCTCTTTCCTTTACCCATATAAGGTAACCAGGAACCAAGTGTTATTAGTTGTTCGTAGTTTACTTAGTAAGCTGTTAGTCATGTTGATACATATTCCACTGATGCTGCTCAGTCAATGAGATTGGCCTTTTCTAGGTTTAAGAAGAGAGCCAAGGGCATAAGATATAAATAGACATTTTTCCAAAGAAGACATACAGATGGCCAACAGGTACATGAAAAGATGCTCAGCATCACTAATCATCAGGGAAATGCAAATCAAAACCATAATGAGATATCACTTCACAGCTATAAGAATGGCTATTATCAAACAGATAAGAAATACAAATAATGGTAGGAAAGTGAGAAAACGGAACTCTCTTGTACTGTTGGCTAGAATATAAATTGGCACAATCACTATGGAAAACATCATGGGGATTCCTAACAAAAATTGAAAATGTAACTACTATATGATCCAGCAATTCCACTTCAGGGTATTTATTCAAAGAAAATGAAAACACTAACTCAAAAAAACATTTGCCCACCCATGTTCACTGTAGCATTATTTACGCTGGCCAAGACATGAAAACAACCTAAGTGTCCATTAATGGACAAATGAATAAAGAAATTGTGGTGGGGGTGGCTCAGTTGGTTAGAGAGCAAGCTCTGAGCAGCAGGGCTGCCGGTTTGATTCCCACATGGGCCAGTGAGCTGCGCCCTCCACAGCTGGATTGAGGACAACGACTGGACCTGAGCTGCCACTGAGCTGCAGGTGGGCAGCCGGATGGCTCAGTTGATTAGAGTGCATGCTCTTTACAATAAGGTTGCCAGTTCGACTCCTGCATGGGATGGTGGGCCACTCCCCTGGCAACTACATTGAAAACATCAAATGGACTTGGTGCTGAGCTGCACCAACAACTAAGACTGAAGGACAACAACTTGACTTGGAGCTGATGGGACCTGGGGAAAACACAGTGTTTCCCAATTAAGTTTAAAAAAAAAGAAAAAGATAAAAGAAATTGTGGTATATATACACAATGGCATATTATTCAGACATAAAAAAGAATGCAATGTTGCCATTTGTTACAACATAGATGGACCTTGAGAGCATTATGCTAAAAATGAAATAAGTCAGACATAGAAAGACAAATACCATATAATCTCCCTTATATGTGGAACCTTAAAACAAAAAACAATAAGCAAAAAAATAAGCTCATAGATACAGAAAACAGATTGATGGTTACAAGTGTTTGGGGGTGGGAAAAATGGATAAACTTTTTTTTAATTGAATAAATTATTTTTAAAAATAGCAACTTTACAAAATTAGTATCAAAAAGTCAGTAAATAAACTACAAAGAAAAAAAAAAGAGCCAGGATGGTGGTAAAGGATCAGCAAAACAATTTTAAGCACTTTTTCATGGTCAGGTACTCTGCTCTGCTATTCCCTGGTACACACTCACATTAAGGGCGAAGATCGTGTTCATCTAATACTCTGGATAATTAAGCAAGAATGTGTTATGTGACACTCATGTCACTTTTAAAAGCACACTTAAAAAAGACTTTGCTAGAAAACTAGTTTGAATACAGCAAGAAAGTGTCCAATAAATACAGTGTGGTTAGATTTCATGAAGAGGTTATACACAATTCAAAAACATAATTCAAGGCTAATTCTGACCAAGGATAATGAGTCATTGCTTATTAGCTAAAAGAGCTGTTGCCACAGGCCATAGTTAACAATGAACTTGAAATGATGTTGTTCCTAGTAAATTCCTTCATATTTTTTTTTCTTGATTTTTTTTTTAATTCCTTTTTATTTCAATGGGGGCAATTCATATTCTCTCAAAGCCTGCAAGTTGAGACTTACTAATATGTCATGTAGCACTATTTCAAATTAGCATAAATTGAGTTACTACTTCTAGCAAACAAGACGGGATTAATCATTTGACTGTAAATCATGATGCTCACAAAGATGGAAAATGTCCCCACTTAAATGAGATGATAGGGAATTCTTAAGTATGTTTAAAATCTGAATTTGGACTTTCATTTCCAGCACCATGGCAAAGAATCTTCTGGATTAAGAAAGAGAGAGAGAGAGAGAGAGAGAGAGAGAGAGAGAGAGAGAGAGAGAGAGAGACAACTTCTAGACAGGTATGCAAGGGCTAATTTTATGGGCAGATTTGCTAAACTACAATACACACATATTTGGTTAATCATAATTCTAGCTGTTCTGTGAAGTTATTTTTTTCTCACATGTGATTAACATTTAAATCAGTAGACTCTGAGGAATGCAGATTATCCTCCATAATGTCAGTGGGCTTCATCCAATCAGATGAAGGTCTTAAGAGAGAAAGAATAAGGTTCCCTGAGGAAGACAGAATTCTGTCTCTAGGCTGTCTCGGATTCAAGCTGAAATATCAACTCTTCCCTGGGGCTCCAGCCTGCCCTGCAGGTTGCAGGCTTACCAGCCTCCCAATCATGCAAGCCAATTCTGTACAGTCACTCTCATATACACACACGCTCTCTCACACACACGTATATGTGTGTATAGTGTATGTATATGTGTGTATACATATAAACATCCTATTCACTCTGTTTCTCTGGAGAAACTTGACTAATATAATGTCTATCTATCAAGATTTTTAAATACATGGATGAACTAATAGCAGAGTCAGAAAAATCTTCAGAGACCAAGAGATATTACGAATCCAAAGAAGAAAGCTAATGTTAGAATGGAGGTTTGACCTGGCAGAACCTGCTGACCCTGACAGTATGGAGAACTAGTCTTCAAACTTAGGGCTGGCTGACAAGGTATCTAAAAGAATAGGAAAACAACTGCATATCCCTTCATATATTTTTAAGTTGCAATGCAAGTTTCTCATCCTTAGCTTCACAGTTGCAAAGGATATAATCATTTGCATGTTGTAAATATACACAGGTATATACACATGTACATATAGATATATCTTACAAATAAACTGCCACATCATTTTTAAGCACATTTTATGACTGCATTACAATAGCAATATCATAGCACCATTATACAATTTAAGAAGTCATGAACAAGGTTAACTTTGCCACTTAAACAAGTAGTTAAGTGAAGAATATGAGTCAGAGAATTACTTGACCAAATGCTTTATTAAGATGTCCAGCATCTCTCTGTTTTTTTCTGGCAATTTGTGCACCAGTGCGTGTACAGCCTCCACCCGGTAGTTTTGGTCATCAGATTCTGTAACATAAAAAGCGATGCAAATGCTCAAGTTTTAATTGCATTCAAATGTGTATGTAAACATTAGTAATTACCATAACCACTCCCACTCCTCATGCCTCATAAACACTGCTTCATGTGGTATTATCTAAAGCTAAGTAACAGGTCTATGGCCATGAAGTTAGTGAGTAGAGAAGTTAACAAACCCAGGTCTGTCTAATCCAGACCTGGGCTCTTCACCACTGAACTATATACTTTCATACAACCAGAACGCATCACCTGCTTTGGTTTTGCTACCCAAGGACAGAATCACACCTTTAGCAATGTGAGTGATTATTGCTATTGTTAGAGACTGCCTAATGTGTAAGACACCACAGTATACTTTATCATGCTGAACCGTCCTACTGACTCCATCAGACCAGAGAAAGCAGGCATTCCTTCCCCCGTTTTACAGGTTCAAAAACCAGGAATCATTTTTCTGAAGTACAGAATCATTGTGCAAACAGAGGCCTACTAGATTTTAAGCCCAGGCTGACAATGGTAAATCTAAAAAGTGAAAAGTCATCTACAGCAAGTCTAGTCTGCCCGTCAAAAGCCACGATGCAGACATGTCTCCTAGAGAAACTTCTAAAGCTTCAGATGAGGAATCTACTTAACATTCTTTTACTATAACAAACAAATTCCGGGGTAACTGCCTACACCCTACCAAACCCTTTCTCTGGAAAGTGCCCAACCCATAAAGCTTGTATTATGGGACCACCATCTCTTCTATTTGAAGGAAGGAAAGACTGGACCAAACACAAGCTCTCTACCAGGAGCTGGAATGGAGTTACCTAAACGGATCTGTCTGTTGGGTATGTGAAAAAGAAGATCATGTGAAACCAGGGCTGATGTGAACAAATATGCTCCAAAGCAAAGAATACTTGACCGGAAAGGAGACAAGAATTAGGCACCTATGTAGCAAAGAACAGAGATGAGAGACCCTCCAAAAAGAGCGGGAGGGAAATGCCGATTCCCAACTTTAGGGTTCCTGGTTGCAGGCCCGAGGAAGCTTGATGACCTCTCTTCTGCCAAGGAATTCTGTAAGGCACCTCTTGGTCTCTGGATAGCTTTCCCTTTTTACTGAGCTGGATTTCTGTTGCTTGAAATCAAATACCTAATGTTATTAACTTAACATCTAGAAAATGGGATTACCCTTGACCCAGACAAAAGATGGACTCTTATAGATAGGAACATATTTTAATTATCATGGTCGTGAATAATATGGTCATTATTTGCCACAGAATAAGTGGAGAAAAAAAAATCTTATGACCAAACGTTTGTATCAAAACCACCAGCACATTGAGTCATTTTAGCTAAGTGGCCATTTGTTATAAAACAAATTTTTTATAAGAAAGAGTTCTAAGTTAAGATGAAACACACTGGCTTGGAGCTGTGGTACTGCCATGAATTACTACTGTCCTTGGACAAAGTTTTGCCTGTCCTGGGTCCTGATTTCCTAGTCAGTGAAATAAGAGGTCAACTTATATATTTCCTAATTTCACGAAGGTAGATTTTTATGGAGAGAATATAGAGTGAAGAGCTTCCAGGAGAAAGCTCAGTAGGATAGTAGTATATATCTATTTACAAGATCATGCGGTCAGTCTGTAAGCTGGATTAAAAACCAAGGTCACTCAACTTTATCTGATACTTTTATCAGCAGACTACGTTTCCTGTGACATTACAATGTGTGGTAATAAAATGATATGACTGATTCCTTTCTTGGATTGTGAAAAGTACTGTTGTTACAGTCACACCTCATACATTTTAACAATGAAATGCCAACTCCAATTGTTACAAGTCATTGAGACGTGCTCACATGGCGCCATGGAACTCTGGTCCCAATATTTTCAAAGTACGTGTTTCTAACTTCTCAGGTTCCATGTTTCTCACTGACCCCCTTCCTACCTCTCCAAAAGTTTTTAATTAAACCTCTCTATTCACATAACATTTTAACAGTCACAGATATAAAGAAATAGCATAGATATGTGATCATCAATACTGCAAATATAATATGGGGGGAAGGAGATTGATGGAAGTACCTGTTACCTGACAAAAATATCTGATTCTCCTCTCCAGATTTAGGAAAACTGTACATACTTGTAGTCTATCTATTTAACCATAAAATTCTTCTTGTAAGAAACTGACATCCATCCATCAACCAAGGAAAATGTATTAGAATAATCCCTCAAAAGTCTTTCTAATCATGCCAGACTGTCACCCCACTGAAGTCTTGTTAAGTGACAAAATAGTTTAGTTCATTCAGTAATTTCTTACTTGTTTATAAACCATATTATAAGCTATTAAGGATCAGATTGACAATTTCTTAAGCATATGTCGGAAAATCTTAACTAGCTGGCTTAAACTTATACCTCTCAGTAATACAGCATAAAACTATATCAATGGAAGCATACTTACTAACAGCAACAATAAAATCTTTGTGTAATTTGTAAGTCATCAGTGGTTCAGCAAGGCACCTACAATGGAGAATGAAACACACTTTAGAATGGCAGTATCTTTTTATTTCCCCTAAACTTTCAGTGCTTAAGAATTGGGTGGATGCTGTATGGTCAAGTCCTAGGAGGACGCTCCCGGCAGTGCTAAAATGCAGACCTCAGTCATCAATGCCCTTTTGCATTTCTTGCAACAATTCTATTAAAAAGGGAGGGAGCCTGAGAGATGATTATTTTTACTTTCTGAGCGAAACTCCTCTCAGATATGGAGATAACAGTTTAAGGAAAACAAACAACTTTCAATTTTAACTTATTTTTAAAAAATACATGGGAACCCATGTTCAAATTTAATATGAAACAGAAATTATTTAGTATCCATAAAATACTGCAGCCTTTTAAGTTTGCTATTTGAAAAATCAAGTGTAAGTTTGAGCACACTAAACAAACATCACCACCTTGTGCTGATTCACCTTCAGTAAAGGAAATGAGGGAAGTTCACACACACAGGCTCCCTGGAATCACCACGGCTGCCCAAGCCAGTGAGTGAGAGGCCGCAGACAGAGTCCCAGGAGGTAAGCCCCCTCACCTGAGGTAGTTTTTCAGTCCACTTGTTATTGTCTTATTATCCCATAGTTCAATGTCAATGTCAATATCAGGAGGGGATTTTGGAGCTGAAAGAATAAAAATAAGGTGTTTAAACTGTGCAATTCAAAGTATCATTCGCCCCATTAAGGAAATGGATACAAACATTAAGTAGGTGAAAGAGAGAGGCATTTATTTCTTAGGATGCCAACGGAGTTAACGTTAGGGTTGTTGTTTGTGTGAGTCTGTGAAAAACTCACTTTGAAACTAAACCTCAAAGATGTCTTGTGGAGTAATAGTTTCCCAAATCAAATTCTTGCGAATTGCTAACATCACAGAGCATTTACCATGTGCTGGGCATGCTCCTAAGTACTTTATATTGACTAACGTATCCAATCCTCACAATTCTTAATAAGGCAGGCACTATCATTATCCCCCCTTTAGAAATGAGGAGGCTGAAGCCCAGTTAAGCAAATTACCTAAGGTCACTTTGAAGGGGCTGAGTTAGGATACCAAGCGAGGCAATCTGAATCCAGCACCCCTAATTCTCATTGCTCCTCCTGCTAGTCAATGGACGCTTGAGAAAAGTACATTATAAAAGGCCCCCTCTCAAATTCTGACTGTTCATCTACCATAATGAACATTAAAAGTTGAATACAAATATTAATTTTAAATATTACTTGAAACTACTCAAAGATATGCAATGGTCTCTATCTCAAAAAAACCCATGGTTTGGATTATCTGGAAGAATAGAAGAATTAATTAAGTAACTGGCTTTATCCAAAACTTACAAAATGTAGTGTTCATAAGTTTCTGAACTTTGGAGTTGACTCCTCCTATTCGGTAGAGGCCTAAAATGGTGATGCCTAATGGGAAGAAAGAAAGAAAAAAAAAAACAAAAAACAACAACACAAGAAAATGGCTTGAGACACAGCTGCCCAAGTACAGAATGTTAAAAACTCAGACATATGCCTACACAGAATTTGAAAGCTACTTATCCGATTTTGCAGTCTAACTTTAGCAAACCTACCCTGGAAACACCCGCCAGACACCTATTTCTCAGAACAGACACTGAACAGTGATTTGAAAATGTCTGAAGATCTTTAACGCAGCGAAGCACACTTGCCTATTCACCACTATGTGAATATAAAAAAGCACTGAAGATGGAAAGGGATGAGCAGTATTGCTCATCTATTTCTCCAGTCATGGAGTGCTTGCTGCATGTTGAACAGTTTTATAGCATTTATATCTTCATTTTAAAGGTGAGGAAATGGATTCAAAGAATTTAAGAAACCTACTTAACGCCTCAAAACTTCTCAAACTTTTTGGCAGCACCCAAAGTTGAATCTAAGTTTAAAGAACTCCCAAGTCCAATCTGAGTTTCACTTCAGACAAATTTTTCCTGGAACTGAAGGAGTCTAACAGGCAACTAGAGAGTGCTTCAGGAGAGAGGTCATGACTAGAGTGAGCAAAGGTAGTAAAATTGTGACAGTAACAGAAATCACGGAGGAAAATAAAGTAGGAAAGGAGGGGCTAGAGACAAGCTACTTAGGAATACTACTGACCTCCCTAAAGCCGCAAAACAATTTAAAGAGGTGCTTACAATAATACATAATACAGAGTCCATCAAAAAGAAGTCAACTGAGGATGTATAAGGAAACGTCATTAAAAAGAAGCATATTTAGAGGATGGTTTTTGGTAAACTGAAGTTCAAAGTATAGCTATTTATGTTGTCATATAATTTACATATTCATATAATTCTTAAAATTGATCTCATGCTAATGACTAAACACATCCTCATTTTCCAAATGGTTTCTAGATGGAGGATGGACCACACAACAGTAACAATGCACTTGTCGGGCATACTGACCTCTTGTTTCCACAGCCTGAATGCATTTTCTCACGAAGTTGAACCCTGCTTCATTTAAGTACACTGAAAATAAAAGAAAATCATGTTAAGTGTTTATTCTGAATTTACAGTCCCCCTTCAGTTGGCTCTGTTGTTTTATAACTTAATGGCAGTTTTGGTTAGAGTCTTAATTTTTACATGGGATAGAAGTGGAGGAGGGAGGTTCATATTCACCCAAGTTATTACATCAATGTGCTTCCTTAGAAACATAAATCCCTCACAGAAAGTAAATATATAACATTGATCCCATCCATTTTTCCTAAAATTAGCAATATCCTGCATTACAAGTTTTACAGAGGATAGAATTAAATAAGAATAAACTTTTATTGTGTTAATAACTATATTAGAAGCTATTCCCATGCATATTTTTTCCCCCACAGGATTCTCAAAACAACATTATGAGGTAGAGAGAAATCTTTGCAACCTTACATGATTTACTGGGTTGCTGAAAATTTCATTTTTGTTGTTCTAAGCGCTAAAGCCAGAACTCTAACTCAGGCCTCTTGATTCAAAGCCCAATGTTCTTTCTATTGCATTTTGTATCATATTCAAAATATTTCAAAACAAGCTTAGTTAAAAATCCCTCAAAGATCCTACATTATAAAATAGCAATTTATTGCTTTATGCCAGATTTTCTTTAAATATGTTCTAATTTTTTTAAGGTTTTGTGGCCAGATCACATAAACTACTTGTTTAAAGAAAAAGGATTTAAGAATACCAAGTAACAGAGGAAAAACTAAAAAAAAAAAATTTGCACTATAATGAAAATTTTTATCACATGTGGTAGATATATTTCTTAATATCCCCAGAAAATAATACATGAAGACAATTCAAGCCAATAAAAAAATTAAAACTGGCTTCCATTTAAAGATGATTGATTAAACACAAGCACATTCATGTAGCCAACAGAGATCCACAAACAAAAAAATAGATATCAAAAAATTATGCTAAAAAACTAAGAAGGGGTGCCAGCAACAGATGAAAAACTTTGAAGAAACTCTACACACAGAAAACCACTAAAACCAAATTGACTGAAAGTTTTGAGAAATCTGTGGCCCAGAAAACTAGAGGTACTGAATGAAAGAATGTTCATCATGTGTTGTTAGGTAGAAAAAGTCATCTACAGGTCACTATGACCCAATTTTTTTAAATGTAAAAATTTGAGGGTATTTTTTCCTAGGAAAAAGCTTCACAAAGATCCATATAAACTGCAAGTAAAAAAGAAGAGGACAAAGGTAGAAATTATCATTTTTATTCATATTTTTAATACAGTTCTTCAGAATATTTTTTTAAAATATCAAGAGATTAAAAAATGTGAAGTTGTCAAAACTAAAACATGTATTGCCACAAATAGGAACTGGCTCATTTCTATGTCCCCAGGGCCCTAGGTCAAGAGAACAGAACTCAGTGAATGCTTTGGGTGAACTCAACATCCAAGAAAGAATGGCTATTAAACAGGCATCTTATTACAGTTGACTACCTACAAGAGTGGAACTCCTTCTGAACACGAAGAAGTGATTGCTTGTTTGCAATAACCCAAAATACTAAGCCTTTTATACATTATACATTCAGACATTTTGGTGAATGGAGAGGTGAGAAGTCAATATAAAGTGAATAAACAAATGAACAAATTATTAATATTCAATTTTAAGAACAAAAACTAGCCCAAAAATGTAAACCTAGGTTAAAAACAATACACTACCATTTTTTGGTATCAATTAAAACTGCAAGTTCCTGGCATTTATAATGTTTGGTTCTTGAGGTCACACTGTTCAACTTGTCAATAAAAATGATTAAAACAGAAAATCATTTGTAAAGAATTTCAATAAAACTTGCCCTTGGCAAAATGAGCAAACTGTGATATATAAAAACAATTTAAGTATCCATTGTGAAAAAAATAAGCAATAACCAGGCTATATATTGAAGGTATTCTGGGACATTTGGCTACAACACCCTAGTCCATTCTAATAAACCGACATCACAGGCTCATTATGAAGAAAATCTTACAGATATTTGGTCTGACTTCCAGGTCATTCCATGGGTGCTGCTGTCCTGATGTGTCCCACGGATCTTGTGTTTCAGCTCTCTTCACATGAGTAAATGAAACACTACCCATCAATTCAGAGATGTGGAAGAATATGTTGGCAAAAATAACCCTGAATTTTTGTTTTGTTTCCTTCGAACAGCCTTTGCTATTTACCTGGAAGAGTACAGAGATGGCACCCAGGTTTGTTTAGAACCAGGCAAACCTAGGATTGGATCTCAGCTAGTTTACTGCTGTGTGAATGGGAGTGTGCCTATTAACACATATGAACTCTAGCTCTTTCATTTATAAAATGGGGAAAATAAGACTATGAGTGCTAAAGGGTTGTAGTAAGCTAAAGGCAAAACCACATGAATGCCTAACAATGGAACAAAACTAATTAAATGCTAGTTTCTTTCTCCATGTGCTCCTGTCCGCACATTATTTCTATATGAACGAAACCAAAGAAATGATGAAAGAAGTCAGTCATGAAATCTAATCAGATAAAAGAGACTTTTCCACTAACTATTAATAGCTGTGTTACTGGGTATAGCTTTAATTTATCTATGCCTCAGTTTCTTCTTCTATACAAAATGGATAACAGCAGTGTTTTCTTCATAGGGCTGCTTACAGATGAAATATGTTAACATTTGTGAAACTCCTAGAATAATGCTTGAAATATAGTGTTACAGAAGGATTGCTATTATCCTCATTATCATTGGCTAGAGGGGAATGTAAATATCTCCATATGTAAATTACACGAACAAGGTATTTTCTGGGCATGGCTGAAGTCACTGGGGCTTGAAGAATTGTCAGCCAGGGGTGTTCTTTTTCAAAGAGGCATATGTATTACCTATTTTAAAAATATCTGGGACTACAGCAATCATCTCTTTCTTTAAACAAACACAGATCAGGCATAACCCATTCAGGCTCTGTGAATCTAGCTGGCCACTGAAAAGATAAGTCGGATATTAAGAAATGTCCCTGTACGTTCATTATACTTCAATAAATTCTAATGAACAAACATCCTCTCCCTGGAACTGAATAGGTATCAGTAACCTTGAATTACTGTTCACCTGCATTTATTGCTCCTTTCTGCAAGAGAATAACGTTTCTCAGCTCCCTCAGAGATAGTTTGGCCATGAAATAGGCACTAGCCAATGAAATATGAATGGAAATGACAAATATCACCATCCAGCAGACACAGAGACCCAGTATGTAGCTTGCCATGTTCTTTTTTCACTCTGGCATGAGAATACAGAGAAGATATTCCATGAGCCTGGGTTCCAGAGTGAAAATTATGTGTAAGAGAGCTATAGCTGACCTGAATGGACAAACAGCATAGTCAAGGAATAAACCTTGACTGTGGTAAGCCTCTGAGATTTGAGTATCAACTGTTATCACAGTATAACTGGCTGGTTCTGAGTTAATTATATATCACTTAAACATTTTGCCATGGCCAAAAGGACTAAATTAAATATAGCCAATACCACACAATTAACTTTTCCGTGCTTAACTAGAATATACCCATTTTTTTCAGCTACTGACTTGTCAATTCATACAAAGAGGAAACAAAAGGCAGTCGTGTCAGTGCCCATTCACGGTTGCCTTGCAAACTACTATTCAACAGCACCTTCGTGGACGCCCACGGAAGTTTCTGCTGAGTTCTGAGAAGAGGGCAACATGGCTTAAACAGGACACAGCACATGACTGATGTAAAGGCCACAGGGGTGGTTTTCTGAGGGCGTCAGGGACAGACACAAATTCTGTAAAGAAAAAGAAGCAACCTTCCGAAGCCATGAAGGGGTTACTGCTAAAGAGAACTAAACAAAAATCGGTTCTCTGTATAGCTTCAAAAAAAAACAAAACAAAACTGGGAACTTCCTTAGTATTCAAATGAAATGTCCATGGAAAGCAGTCTTACTAAATCAAATCACACCATGAGAGGCTGATAACTTATCATAATTCTCCGATAGTGGAGGACAAGGGACCCCTGCTGTGAACAGTAGAGAATGGAGCACACGCATCCTTCATAGTTAGGAATGCTGATTGCTGAGTCAGGACGCCACGCCTGGCCCAGAGCAGGCAGCCAATAAATCTTACTGATTGATGGCTTGCTGGTTGCCGGTTTGTACCCGGCTTACTCAGTATCCTCCTTGGATGGTTTCTACAAGGGATAGAGCTTATCAGCTAACTGGAACTGCTTTACCAACTCCTCACCAGGGCTCTACCTCAGCCCTGTATCTCCCTGTTACAGAGAGGACCAGAGGGATACGAAGAATACAACCACCAAATTCCCAGGAATCGAAATCCTCTAATATTAATGATACTTGGCCTTCGGGGGTAGAAGTAGAAAATAGGTTAACTCCATGAGCTTTATTTATTCCATCAAAAGTTAAAAGTAAACATTATTTTTTTGTCCCTCTGAAAACTATTCAGGGCTAAAGCTTTTATTTAAACAAAGTTTCTATAGGCAGTTTGGCAGCACAAAAGCTATTAATCTCAACAGAATTCAAACAGCCATGAGGAAAAGAAAAAGAATAGTCTTCCATACAAGTAACAAAACAAAAGTCCTTGTACCTTCAATTTCCCAGTAATGAAAAACCCAGCATGTCCTTACAGATGTAATCTACGTGGCCTTACAGTACATTCTCAGGGTTGACAAGACAAAGCAACCTTGGTCTGTAATTTCTAATTCACTTTTCTAATCTGACATTTCAGATTAAAAGGCACCTTATCACAGACAACTAGTATTACACTGTATATGGCTTGAAAGAAACAGAAAAAAGAAACAAGTACATTTATTGGTGTTTGTGATACCTGATACCCACAGGACCTTTTCTCTTCTCCCTAAAGGATGATTAACTCTCTACAACCATGGCCCAAACTGTTCCTTTTTGCTGCTCTGAGGAGAATGTGCACTATGACCCTTTTTCTGGATCTCAGTGATGGAAACAAAACTATATTTGATCAGGGGCCTGAGGATGTGGTAGAAAAGGAGGATATAACCTACAGACGGCTGAGAACGTCCAGAACTAAAGTATCTAAACAGCAGTATGAAGCTCAAAACCTTTCATGATAGATGGCAATTCCTCAGGATAAGAAGAACCAGCTTAATTTTGCTATTTATTGCTGCAAAGAATCCGCTCCCTAGGCACAGATGGGAAAGTCACTGAAGCACACAGTGGCAAAAATTTAGAGTTGTTGGGCAATTTTGACAGTATCTTTTGGTCCAATCCCTTTGATTTGTACATGAGGACTCAAAGTTAAGTGACTTTGCCATTATATGGGCAAATAATGACTTTTTAAAGCAGAAACATCATTTGAAAGAACTTTCTATTCACAATACCTGGAATAAAGTAGGTCCACACTGGAATATTACTGAACTGAATTGCATGCGAGAATGAGAACTGAGGACCTTTTCTTTCAAAGCTCTCTAGACCTAGAGTAGAAGGATCAGCTAAACAGCCATCACATCAAGCTTACGTTTGAGTGAAAATAAGGTTCAGAGCACAGAGAATGCAACAGAAAGCAAGCCTAAGAAAAATGACAACTGCCCCTGATAACTAGTCCCAGGATGGAAGTCTTGGGACAGAAAGGCATATCAAGAAATACAATTTTTTTCTTTAAAAGATGGGCTCAGATGGCAGAATTATAAAGAACTATTGGCAAGCTATTCTTAACAAAATATCCCCAATGGCATGGCTTGAGAAACAGTTCTGTTCTAATCTTAATTGAATAATATCTGTTTAATATTTATGATAGACATTGTTATTCTCAAAATGAATTAATTCCCAAAGTCCTATAATTTCGAGATACGGGTACTATGACATATTTTACAAACACAGAAAAGTGTTTAAGGATTTAATATCCTATTAACTGACCAATACTGTAGATTTTTTTATTTTTGGTGCTGTATTCATTAAGATGAGTAAAACTTTCGTTCTCTATTGAATTATACTAGTCTCATTTACAGCATCTTTACTCTGAAAACAGTCAATTAATAATAACCACAAAGTAGGGAGACATTTTCATGTTAGGCTTGTAAAGAGAGTCTCATTCCTCTACAGTCACAGAATAGTTTTACTCCTCATTTTATGGCATATGTTCTCTGTATATTCACAGTATGGCCCTCTTTTAGGACCCTAGATAGTTTTTACCTGGTTGCTTTTAGGGTTATCAGTGAAAGCAGAGATGTTATGACTATTTTTAATGGTTTACACTGAAAACCAATTTTTACCTGAGTTTTATATTTTACCATCCTAAGCTTCACTATTATCTTCAGCACTTCAACACACAGACACATTCAGTCAAAAGTGAGTTTCCAAAAGATAACAAGATTATTTTAAGATCAACAGAATCCATCTGAATTAACCAAAGCTATACAGAAGCACTTATTAAGGTGGCAAATGAATCAGGACAATACTGGTTTCAAATACCAATTGTGAGAGAAGTTACATATTAAAATTATCATAATTCCACTTTGGGAGGAGTCAAAAGTCAAAAAGGGACATGGAGAACCTCAAAAAACAGGTTGATGTGTTATGTGTGGAAATGATGTGTTGAAGGTACCATCATAAAGATATAAACCACTCTGAAATCATAACATGATGAACTCACATGATTTATTCAAGACTTAAAAAAGAGGTCTGAGAACTTCATGATCACTGGAATATAATTTTGAACTGAAACAAATAAAATTCTGGACACGTCACTAGGAAAAAAACATGACACTGCTTTTAGGTTAATAGGACCATATGCTTGAATCTGGAATACTGTTGAGTGTTCAGACACATCCTATGAGTCATTAAATCACTAGAAAAACATTGGTTGATAAGACACATAATAAAAGAGAAAAGGGGTAAAATTACAGTCTCAGCAAGAGATTCAAAGTACCATTAATAAATTTTAGGCCTTGATGCAGTAGATGACTTTGGCAATTACATGCCAAAAAAATTAAAATTCAGAGGACTTGGAAAGCCCCTTGACCAGACTAAGAGGCAAGCCATTTTAAATAAAGGGTCTTCATGGCATGCTGGACTGAAATGTTTAGAAAGCCTTGGTCACGCAAGCTAGCAATACCAGAAAGTCCACCCCAGCTGCAAGGAATTTAGTTCTAGAAGTTGCATTCAATCCTGTGCCTCCATTAGGTAGTTTCTTTTATTGATGACATATGCCATAGTTCCGCCTTTCTAACTGGGTGGTGGTGATTCTATTTGAGTGAGGAAATTTGAATCTCCAAGAATGTTTAAAAACAACCAAAAACAAGTGTAATTTTGGATAAGTTGGCTTTATGTCATGTAATAAAACATTTTGAAATCACTATGTAATTTTGTAATTTATTTAGAATGTTTAGAATGCTTAAAGGAATATTAATCTCTGCATTTATAAGGCAATTTACTAGATTACAGAAATTGCCAGGTGTTTAGGAAGATCATGTTAGCCAGAATCACAAATTTGTCTTATTAGGGTCTTGAATTTGGGAGAATGAAATTTACTAGTTTTGAAATTATAGCTTGATCTAAAGAAGCTTGATTGACGAAATTTGAATTCTATTAAATTTATGAAAAAATAAACTCAAAATAACTTATTTTTTAAAATCAGTACATTTATAAATAAAATAATATCTGTATGTTGATTAAAAGTAGGCTTGAAGAAAAAATATAGCTTAAGATAAAATAAAAACTTATAACTAAGGTTAAGATTTATAACTTCAAGCACTACATATTCATAAAGTGAAGGTAATTGTAATATTCCTTTCTATGATCAAAATCTCCCACTGGGCAATAAAAGCCTACTGGCTCTAAGAGTAAGAATCAGAGCAATTATGTACTGAGCACACATTTCACAGAAGGCCTGCATCGAGTCCATTACTGAGAAGGGGAGATGCGTCCTATCACAAGAAGCTCAGAGAACCGGGTAGGAAACTAATACACCATACCCAAAGCCAGAATGTGAGAAATGATGCAAACACGTAGAATCTAGACAGTTATTTTTCTGAAAAACACACCATTTCATAATTACAAATGGTGGCATAGTGATGAGTCAGGTGGCTAAGAATACAGGAAAACTGATTTTCAGAAGAGAAAGTTTTTATGACACAAAGTCCCTCCATCACAACATAAGTACATTTGATAACTTTCTTATTCTAATTTTCTAGTTATGACAGAAACCCTAGTTCCATAGGTACATTAAGTATCAAACATATTCTGATTGACTTGACCATGTCCCCATTCAAAAGCCTTCCTTATGCAATACCTACCATACATAGGTTCATTTGTTTTCCAATAAGGAGTCATCCTTGAGTAGCTTATTTGAATTTGAAAGGACTGTCTTTATCATGGATATAAACAATGAAACCAATATTAGAAAGCACATTCCAAACTCTACTCAAATGCAAAATATAAAACAGATTACTGCTTAGCTTTTCAGGTGGTTGTTTAGAATGAACATTCAGTACTCATACAACTTTGTTGGTTAATGATTCTGTGATTAGATACAAGTAGGCAATGAAAGATTTTATACTAATCACTTTCCTTGATTAGCAATAAACAAAGGAATGCAAGAATAAAAACTGAAAGTGTGTTTTAAAAGTCTTTAATATTAAAGGTATTTTAAATCATGCATTTTCTTTTAATAATTTTTTGAATCACTAGGAAGAATTTCATTCAGTTAAAATGATAGGCTTCTTCATACAGTCAATATTTATGACTTTCAAATGAGTACTTTCCCGGCTTCTATATTTACTTCATTGTAACATATTTTAATAGCAATTTAAAAGTCAAGGTTTTTAATTCTGTTTTAAAAATAAATTTAGACATGAGATTTAGACATGAGATTTAGACATGAGATCATGAGAGACAGTTAATTGAGTAAAAAAAACCTTGAAATTGCTTTAAAAGATATACACAGAACCTTAGAAACAAATATACAAACTTGTTTTAAATGTCAAATAATCTGATGACATAAAGTACATATGATACTGTGCTAAGGTCTGGCTGCCTGCCACTTGAAAAAGTTAAAAATTGAGAGACAAAGTTGGTGGAAATAAACGCAGGATTATTCAGAATGCCGA